GTGCCCGCGGGCACCGTATTGGTGACCCCTGTTCTATAGTCTTTTACAGCAGCCAGCTCACTTTGTCATACCAGGACAGCTGAAAAGACCTGTTATTTCCCCACTGTGGGATCAATAAAAAGTTTTTTTTATCTTACTTTTCCCCACCTTTTGCACCAAATTAATCTGAGGAGTTGATCAGCTCTGCTGTTTAACTCTGTTTTTCTTTGTAAACAAGACTGTAATGGCTTCACCAAAATCCGGTCCACAACATTCAAACTGCCATTGTGTGCAGCTTGTTACTGGCGCGAGGCTAGAGTGAAGTGTGTCCGTCTGTGAGTGTTTTACGACTGTGAAGAGGCTCGGCAGCACCTGCTGGACAGAAGTCAGAAAGAGTGATAGAAGTCAGTCTTCAAACACAAGCAGCTACAAAACACCCACCAGAAATAAAAACTTGATTTGTCGCTAGTCGTTTTTAACAAAGAAATGCTGCTAAAAGGATTAATAAAGTCTCCGATTCAACTCAGAACAGAAACGAAACTAAAAACTGCTCCCACGGAATGTTTACACCAAAGAGATCACTGATTCGCTCATTTTGCTGTCAATCAAAAAGGGATTCAGCCTCCGACAGATCATCCAATCATCATGCAGACGCTGAGAGTCCGACCCAGCCCCCTGCCCCATAGACCCCCGGAGACGTTCAGCGTCCAATGGGCGGGACAAAGCCAGTATTTATCCAATGACTCGTCTCATTTGGCTGCAGTCTTTGCATCACTAATGAGCTCTGTGGAAGCTCAGCGTCCGACTGTTTTAAAGCATTGTAAAGCTGCGGGAATGAGTGAAATGAGGAAAGTCATGTCATCACCAGTGAAAAGAAGCTGATTCTGAACAAAAATTGAGCGCATTGTAGCACATATTTAGTCAATGGCATGTACACACAACAGTATATATTTGATCTTTTTTTTTTACAATGTAGGGGAGCTTCCCTTGCAGTCTCAGAGCAATCGCCTCTGACTGACAGTTATACATTAGGGAAACAAAACAGCCACTGTTCAAAAGAATGAACCAGCACAGACGAGCTACTTCGTCAGGTCAGAACTCTGCAGTTTACACTCATTTACTGGCCAGCGGTCACTCTTTCAGGGATGAAGATGTTCTCATCCTTGATAGAGAGGAACGTTGTTTGAGAGAGGAGTAAAGGAAGCCATCTTTGTGAAGAAAAACCATCCACCATTAAACAGATGTGGAGGCCTTCGTGTCCACTTGTCCTCCTCCTACAATGCTATTATTGCAAGTATGACTCAGCCCCCTGTGAGTAAAAGGTGTGAATCAGGGCCCCAACGATACCAACACAAAGAGGGAAAGAAGGACAAAAACAAGGGGATGTTGAACCCCCACCTGCATTCACAACATACACATAACACGACACGGGTCAGGTGATGGGGCACATAACCCTCTATGAACAATAGAACTAATCAAGCCTATTGTTAGGCGATGGGATGGCCCTCTTTTGCATGTGACTAACCTGTTTGTCCATGTGGAGGCAGTGCTCTTAAGGCTGAGTTCACCTGAAACTCATCAGACTGAAGAAGTCTCTTGGA